CCTCCAGCAGCTGGAGTGGAAGGCTCTGGCCCTTCCCCATCTCATGGGGCTAGGATGGGGCAGCCCACTTCTGCTCCAGCCCATGCCGAACCAGTTGGTCTTCCCCACCGTGGGCTGCCTTTGGGGGCAGCTGGAAGACCAGGATCTGTTCCCAGGCTGGGTGTCCCAAGGTGCTGGTCCCTGCTCCCAGCTCTGCTGGGCAAGGGCTGGCAGTGCCCCGGGCCTGGGAGGGCAGGGGAGACGTCGGGGCTGTTTAACCATTAAACCTGGGGCGTCTTGGAAGAGGCGGGGACACTGGCTTCCCTGCCACTTCACCCTGTACCTTGCTCCCTCTCGCATTCCCTGCAGCCATGAAGCAAACAAAAGGTATGTGCCGGGGCAATGGGGCTTCGTCCTGCGGAGACCCTTCCCCACACGCACGTCTCCAGGTCCTGCTTCCTGCAAGGCAATGTCAGAGCCCAGGCAGGCCATGCAAAGGAGCTAGAGGCATCCAGGAAAATGCAAACGGACATTGTGGGGGTGCTTGGCAGGAATCCCCTCTCTTTGGGTTTGGGGGTCTTTGTGCTGGAAGAGACGGGAAGGGATTTTGTGGGGAGGTGTGCTGCGGAAGGCCTCTGTCTCTATCTCTTGGCTCCAGCCAGCTCTCTGGGGCCCTGGTGACCCTTCTTATCCCTCGCTCAAAAGCCCTGTAAACCCCCAGGACTAACCTCCGTCTGCATACCACTGCCTGGCCCTATTTTGTCCCCGGTGCTGCAGGACCCCGCTGGGCTGGGCAGCAGATGCCCATTGGACCTAAGCAGCAGGTATCCTGCTGCTTTGAAATGCAAGAGGACACTGGTGGCGGGGCCAAGGGCTGAGCTGTGCCTGGGCACAAGCTGTAGCCGGGGGTCAGAGGGACCAGGGGGCTGCGTGGACTCGAAACCCACCTCACCTGGCGTGGCATGCTCAGCCTGCAAATGGACAAGCCCTGAGTGCTCAAGAGCATGGGGTCTGCTCCCAGCCTGCCACCTCCTGCACTGACCTCTCCTCTCCTCTGCAGGGCTCGAGGGTGACCAGAAGTCCATCATGTAAGTGCTGAGGTCCCCCTGGCCGGGGGCTTCCTGGGGCTCATGGCCCCATAACCAGGCTGTGCTGGGGAACATCCTTAGCTGAGGTGGTGTGGGTCACGGCTGCCAATCCCAGCTACCTGCCCCAGGAAGGTCTTCCCTGAGTTGTTAGCTCAGGAGAGATGTGGGGGACAGTCCAAGAGGGACATTGTCTCCTGGCTTTCTCCAAGGAAGAGAAGGCACTGGAGCTCTGGCCCCAGCTTTCTGGGGCTCCTCACGGAAGGTCTGGGGAGGGCAGGGGGAAGGCCATGCTGCTGCACTAACGTGGCCTCTCCTGCCCTTTATCATTTCAGAAAATTTGAATTTAACCCCAAAGATGGGATTGACAACCCGGCTTTGTCGCTGGCTGAGGACATGGGTAAATACCCTCATCTCCCCAGGGCATCCCTCTGTCAGCACGGGTTCTGGCAGCTGGACATCGCTGGGGTCCTGGGCTCTCTCACACTGGGGAGCTGTGGGGAGGTGAACATGTAAGGCAGTGGGGATGGGGACATCCCAGCCTGGGATGGGGTAGAGGACCCGTGTTAGGATCCCTGCAGGGCCGTGCAGGGCTGTGCTCACAGGCTGTGCCCCCACGCAGATGGCGAGGGCGTGGGGGAGCCCCGCTTCTATGTCCTGACCAAGGGCAGCACGGAGACCTTTGGCTTCTGCCTCCACAAAGAGCTGGGCTGCCAGGGCCACATCATCCGGCAGGTCGAGCTGGGGGGGCTGGCCCAGCGCAGGGGGCTGCAGGATGGGGACCGGCTCCTCCAGGTCAACGGCCACTTCGTGGATGACATGGACCACCGCAGGGTAAGCTGGGAGCACCCTGGGGCTGTGGGAATGCCCAGGTCCTCCCCAGCCAGGGGCACAGAGGGTGCAGGACCCCAGTCCTCCCTGGGGCCCTGATCCCAGAGGCTGTGGTTGGAGGGGCACCCTGCCCGGGGTTCACAGCCTGAGTCCTTCCAGGTGGTGCAGAAGATCAAGGCCAGTGGGAACCAGGTCCTACTGGCAGTGCTGGATGGCAACTCCTACGAAGCAGCCAAAGCCCTGGGCAGGGACCTGTCCCAGATGCTGCCAGCTGACATCCGCCCACGCCTCTGCCACATCACACGGGACAAAAGCGGTTTCGGCTTCAGTGTGTCGAGTCCAGAAGGTAAAGCCGGCAGTGGGATGCCGGTGCCGCAAGCCTCCCCAATGCAGTGCCCCACTCGCCCCAGACTGCTTCTTCTCCCTGCAGGCATGAAGGGCACCTTCCAGCTGTCAGTGCAGCAGGACGGGCCAGCAGAGAGAGCAGGGGTGCCGCCAGGGTCCTGGCTCCTGGAGCTGAATGGGGCCAGCGTGAGGACCTACTCACACACGCAGCTCGCCCGAAAGGTGTGTGCTCCCGGAGCAGGTGGGTGGGGGACCGGGGCCAGCAACGTGGCTAAGCGCCCTGTGTTTCCCATCCAGCTTAAGCAGAGCGGCAGCAAGGTGACACTGCTGGTGGCATCCAGTGCCGTGGAGGAGTTTTACCGCCTGCGGGGCCTGCGGGTCACAGCCGCCTTGGCGGACACCTCCTGGCTCCCCTTCAAGGTCCGGGAGCTGCACATGGTGAAGGGTCCGGCTGGCTATGGGTTTCTGCTCAAAGAGGATGACTGCAGCTCAGGTGCCACAGGTGAGGGGGCTGAGGGGGGCAGTCCGTACCTGAGCAAGGCATGTCTGAGGGTCAGGAATAGCTGCAAGCCCTGTGCCCACAGCAGGACCCTGTTCCCACCTGCACATGGGGGTCAGTGGTGCCAGTTCCCCTCTGGCTGAATGCCTCTGTGAGCATCTCCCCACCCTCCCTCTGTCTTGCTGTGGCAGGCCAGTTCCTGTGGGATGTGGATGCGGGGCTGCCAGCTGAGCAGGCAGGGATGAAGGAAGGGGACCGTCTCCTGGCTGTGAATGGTGAGAGCATTGAGGGGCTGGACCACCAGCAGACGGTGCTCCGGATCCGTGCCCATGATGACCAGGTGACACTGCTGGTCATCGACCCCGCTGGAGATGAGTTCTACCAGTCGGTAGGTTTTGGGGACCAAACATGGTTCTGCCCTGGCTGGGGAGCCCTGGGGGGCTGGATGTTGGGATGGGTGTCTTGCCCCCAGGCCTGCACAATGAGGTCCTCTCTAGGGGACCTGGCTTGCTGTGGAGTGCCAGGAGCTGTATGGCATCCCTCTTCGGCTCTTCCAGATCGGGCTGTCCCCCCTGCTGTTCTTTGACGACAGTGACCCTGTCTCAGGCTCCTGCACGCCCTCCCTGCCCTCTCCCAGTGGCTCCCCTGGACTCTGTCATGTTGAGGTGGGACCAAAAGGACCTGGCTCCTGGCTTGTGGCTGCTGCCAACAGTATAGGATTCACACAGGTAACCTCTCTTGCCAGACCCTCATGGCAGTGCTGCTCACAGCCCAGCACTACTCTGAGTCCTGGCACTCTCCTGCCCTGCTTGTCCTAATATTTCCCTGGCACCTGTGACACTGGCAGGAGGGGGTTGAGTGGTCCTCTGGCCACAGGGGCCAGGCAGAAAGACCCCTCCAACCTGCCTGTGGGGCAAGGGTGGAATATGGTGAGGTGGGTGGATGTGTGCTGCTCACAATGCCCCCACTGTGTCCCTGCAGAGCCCACGCCAGGAGGAGCAGAGGAGGCTGTGTGAGGAGTTCTAGCGGCCCAGGCGCACCCTGCCCTCGGCCAGGCTCCCCCCCACAGCGCCTCGAGCCAGGCTGTGTCCAGCCCATCGGTGCCTGCTGCCCGGCTCCCTGGAGAACACAGCGCTGCTCAGCATGGCCGTTGCACACACAGCTGCTGTGTCTCTGTGCCCGTGATGGGGCTCACAGCATCACACCTCCCAGAGACTCATCTTCACTGATCGAGGCTGGCTCCAGGCTTCCACGGCGGTGGCTTCTTGTAGCCTGAAGACAGACCTGTGTCTTTGCCTGCCCTGCTGCCTCCAGGGATATCTGGGGACATTGCACTGAAGCCCTTGCCCAGCTCCAGGCTCTGGGAGCTCCCAGGAGAGCCAAGGCACTGCCCTCCATGCCATGACCCGGGGGACGGGGGAGCCTGAGGCTTGGCTCAGCCCAGGGCTGACCTTCAGGCCACTGTGTGAAGGGGAAAGGGAGCAGCAGAGGCCAACGGGGCGCTGGAGGAATCCCCACGTCTCAGCCTGTTGGCTCAGGTCTGCATCTGCACGGACGTCTCTCTTGTGCTCCTTCTCTCATCCTCCCTGTGAACCTGTGGGCAGTGAGTGTCTGCCCCCCCATCACAGCACTGTTCCTGTGTCACCCATTTGGGGTGTGATTAAAGGACAAACCCACACTGCTGTTCATGTGGGTAATGTTATGGACAGGACTGTGACTCGGCAGTGCATCCCAGGGCCAGACAGGATCCATCTTCTCTTCCCTTGCCCAGGGCAGCTGGGGTGTTGGGCAGTGGATGTGGGAAGCTGTCCAAGTGTGCTGATGGGGAGGTAGGGGGGCTGAGAGCCTGTCCTGTCCCAGGGGTCCTCAGGGGGCTATATATCCAGGGGACTGAGGCTGAACTCCTGTAGGTGCTCCTTGTGCTCCACGGCGATGGTCGTTCTTACCTTTTCCCGGTGCTGGCTGGCCTCTGCCATCTTGGCCAGCACAAGGTCCAGGCTACCCTGGTGGGAAAGAGGATGGTGAGGAGGGGGACTGCACTGCCGGGAGGAGTCACCCGCAGCCACGTCCCCACTCACGTGGCGGATCTTCTCATACTCCCTCTCCATGGCATCGAGCCTGCCCTGCAGCTGGGCGATGGTCCTGTCCCTCTCTGCTAGTGCCTGGGTGGCAGTCTCCTGGGTCTGCTGGCTCTCCTGGAGCCTACTGGCTGTGGGGTGTGGGGACAGAGGCAGGGGACACTGGGCACGTGGGCACAAGAGCCTGGCACTGTGTGACCAGTGGATGGGAGAGTATGGGCAGTGTGCGGCACAGCCCCTGCCCAATCCCCCTCATCCCCAGCGTGGCAGAGAGCTCTGGGACCGGGGTGGGATCACAGCATCCCCTTTGCAGTCACCATCTCCCAAGGTCGGGGATGCACTGGGTCAGGCTTTGCCTTCAGCTGCTGCCGTGCTGACAGCACAGGGTGAATGACTCCCAGCTCCCCTTGTTCTCCGCAAGCGCCGTCCTGGAGCAAACCCCATCCCCACCACCGGCGAGGGGCAGGCATGCCGGGGAGCCATACCAAGCTGCTCCTGTAGGCTCTTCACCTTCGCCTCCAAGCACTGGCTGTGGGCTGCTGTCTGCTTCTGCAGCTCCTGGTATTGCCGGGTCATTTCTGGGAGCCAGGGAGGGGAGAAGGGAACAAACACGGTGACTACAGGAGGGACAAGCAGTCAGTCCTTGTGCTCGGATCCCAGCACCTGATCCAGGCAGGGGCTCCAGCAAGGCCTGACCTGAGGGCTCCCCTTGCAGGGTGACGCATCAGAAGCAGCCGTGGGTGCACCTTCTCCCTCCTGGCAGGGCTGTGACAACGCCGGGGGCGGGGAGGGGGCAGGCAGGAGGGAGCCCTGGAGGGGAAGTTTTGCCTCTCTGTTGAGCGTGGGAGAGTGAAAACGAGCACGGAGTTTTGCATGTGGCAAAGACCGCAAACCTCTGGCTGAGGTTTTACCTCTGTTAAAATCATCTCCTTCTTGAATGCTAACGGAAATGGCAAGGCAATGACTTTTGCAGACAGGGAAGTCTCTGCCTCTGGGGTCTCCTCTGCCTGTGCGGGCACCTGGGGTGCAACGAGTCCGTGTCCAGAGCCTTTGCATGCTGACAGCATGGGAAGGAGCAGGGCTAGCCAACGGCAGGGTGGCTTGGGGCTGAGTAGTCAAGGCCAAAGGGAGAGGTGGGGTAAGCTTGGCTGGCTTCCCCCCAGCAGCACCAAGGCATGGGGTCCCTGCATCTGTCCCATTGCCCCCTCCCGCCTCTGCCCTCACCTTCATGCATGTCTCGCTTGTCTTCTCGTGCCTGCTCCAGCAGCTTCTCCAGGTCCCACAGCTTCTGCTTGAGCCCTTCATTGTCAGCTTTTCCCTGCCAGGTCATGTCCCTCCAGGGAACTGTGAGCTAGAGATGCACGGGACTGCCATGGGGACAACGTGCTTCCTGACAGGTGACCCACACCATGACCCTGACCTGAGCACAGGCAGCCAAAGGGCACCATCCAGACCATACTGGGTGGCTGTTCCCTGCCCAGTACCTCCTCTGTACCTTCGCTCAGCAGTGACTTATTCCTAGCTTTTCTCTGCTCCCAAAGCCAGGGGGATGTGGACACCTTCCCAGCCCATGCCTGCCCCCAAGCCCTGCCTGAACCAGAGCGAATCTCATTGTATCAGGAATAGTGTGGCCAGCAGGACTAGGGAAGCGATTGTCCCCCTGTACTCGGCACTGGTGAGGCCGCCCCTCGAATCCTGTGCTCAGCGTTGGGCCCCTCACCCCAAGAAGGCCATGGAGGGGCTGGAGCGGGGCCAGAGCAGGGCAGCGAGGCTGGGGCAGGGGCTGGAACACAAGGCTGGGGAGGAGCGGCTGGGGGAGCTGGGGGGGCTCAGCCTGGAGAAGAGGAAGCTGAGGGGAGCCCTCATCGCTCTCTGCAACGGC